GGCCTTGCAACGTCTGTAGGCAGCTGCCCGATGCGGCGTCCCAGATCTTGACGGTGTTATCGACCGAACCGGACACGAGCCGCTGGCCGTCAGGCGAGAACGCGACCGACAAAACCGAGCTGCGATGGCCTTGCAACGTCTGTAGGCAGCTGCCTGATGCGGCGTCCCAGATCTTGACGATGTTATCGCGCGAACCGGACACGAGCCGCTGGCCGTCAGGCGAGAACGCGACCGATAAAACCGAGTCGTGATGGCCTTGCAACGTCTGTAGGTAGCTGCCCGATGCGGCGTCCCAGATCTTGACGATATTATCGCCCGAACCGGACACGAGCCGCTGGCCGTCAGGCGAGAACGCGACCGACCAAACCGAGTCGTGATGGCCTTCTAATGTCTGCAGGCATGTATTCCAATCCGCTTCTACGGCCGGCTTCGTTTTAATCCAGTTAGGTTCTTCTACCTTGAAATACGCCTTTATCAAGCTGCCGGCTGGGGCGAATACAAGGGCTGATACGTATGCTTGAAGCGGAGCTTGCTCTATGATCCATCTGTAAGACAGAGCAAACCGGTGCGCATCCCGAACAAGGTTTGTCAACTCGCGCCCGTTATTGTATCCCTATATCTCCGTGTTAGACCGAGTTTCTAGGGAGCGGTCAATCTCATCCTCACCAGCAAGCCCTCGAGCCGTCTTATAGCGATGATACCCTCTGACATTGCTCGCTGTAAACTGAGAGCTTCGAGCCAGTAAAGGTACTTTGTCTTGAGGAAGATATGGACAGCCTTGTTATCCTGTAGAAGATCGTCCCGGTATGTGCCCGTGCCGGAAACCGAGTCGCACAGGTGGCCAACCCAGTAGACGCACGAGTACCGCACCGTTGCCAGCGGGTCCGGGTCCGGCACTCGGACGTTGTCGATCAGAAATCCCGGTGCGCCTAAGCCGTACATGTCGCGCCGTAATGTTGTGGACATCGCATCGAGCGACCTCAAAAAAATGATATGGTCCACATTTTCTGTCCCAAAAGGGAAGACCCAGCCGGAAGCCTCTTGAGAAGCTTTGTTGGAGGCTTTGTCCGAAGCCCTGCCAAGGAGAAAGTCCTTGGCAGATTGGTGGACGAAATAGACGGTTTGTTCTCGAAGAGTCAGGAACGAGCCGCAGAGCTTGACGATCTCTTCCAAGGACCCCGGATCGTCGGAAACGTTATCCGGCAACTCAACAAGAGAGGTGAGTTCGTTGAGGCTGACCGGCCGGCGAACAATCGCCGCGACGCCAAGAATCTGCTTGCAGAGTCCTGCATCCTCGGAATGGATAATCTGCTTCATCATCCGCGCGTATAAAGAGTCAAGCCCGGGCGGAAACGTGTGCAACTTTGCAAGGCTGTGCCGTCTCCGAATGTTCGGGTCCGCAAGTGCTTGGCAGACCAAGGCCACCCAGAGAAAGGTCCCGCTCGCGTTGGAGGAAAGATAGTCTCGTACAGCAGTCTCTGTCTTGCTGTCGTACTGTTTCAACTGCGACAGGTAAAGGACTTTATGGCCGATGTATGCGTTGACGGCGGTGGTGACAGATTGGGCGTTCAGCTCAAGGCTCAGCCTCGCTTTCTCTGTGGCTGTTTCCAACCGCTCCTCGATTTCTGGCCAATTGCGACTCGATACAATCCACTTGACTCGAGGAGATCCAGATGATTTCTGGGCGATCAAGTCGAGAAGCTGTGGCAGGTCCGTCACGCACTCGTCAAGTGCGTCAATGAGGAAGTAGGTCGTTCGTAGGCTTGGGTCTCGCAGAATATTGGCAAGGATTCTCGATAGGGCATCCCAAGTATTTGCATCTTGAAAGAGAGTTTCGCCTGCCCGGTCGTACTCGCTCCGCACGTGGGAGAGGAGAGACGGCTGCTGGTCGAGAAGCAGGTAGATCAAGCCACGGAGCACGGCGGTTGCATTGTTGATACGGGAGTCGGTAGCCTGGCAGAAGAAGTAGGCCACATTGCAATAGCATACGTCGGTACTACCGTCTTGGTCCAGCTCGTTGACGATGCCGCACAGCAACATGGTCTTCCCCTTGCCGGGGTCGCCCTTGATCCAGAGCAGCCGGCTTTCCGGGCAGTTACGCCATCGCTGGAAGTCGGGGTTGCCGAGGACCCAGCGATACGAGTCTTGTAGGAGGCCGCCTTTTGTCCGCTCGATACGGGCCTTATCATCGCGAGGATTGGTAAGGCGCAGGTGCTTCAGGCATTGCTGGTCCTTCTCCGACATTTGCTGTATCTCCTGGTTCCTTGCATGGCTAACGAGCTGCCCGAGATGAGATGTGACTTGCTGAGCATTGTATGTCTGGGTATCATCTTGGAAGCGCTTCTCGGCGTCTCGGATACCCCCAAAGTCTGCATCCCAGTTGTCAAGCTTGATCACATCCCGGAGGAGAACCAAACCGCGGTTACGGTAATAAGAACAGACACTCTTGACTTGGTAAGAGAGGAGCATTTTGTAGAGGTCGACGATTTGGTTTTCCAGTTCGTGTTTCACTCCCGAGAGCATATCGGCGTGGTCGGGCAGATCCTTAAGAAGGTTGCCCGACAGGCTCCAGTACCAGTCCATCCTCTTCACAACGTAGGCGATCCCTTTGCGGTTCGCTTCGGTCGCCTTTACGGGGTTGGCAAGCAACTGCAGAAGTTAGCATGCGGAACGTCGCCCTCCAGATAAACGTACCTCTAGAGTGAGGCAAATGCCAGTCCAAGCGAGCGCGGCTTGGGGCAAAGCCTGAATTGCCAAACTTATGATGTTTCTGGCTGACAAAACGACATCCACGGCCACGCCAAGGCCCTCTTTCACCGTGGCCTCCCTCCCAATCTTGTCTAGACCGGCATGGATGAGCTGGGTCATCTGGTGGCGCCTCGTGTCCGAGTTGTTTTGGGCGATCGTATTCGGCTGGGACTCGGGCACCACTGAGCCGAGGCCATCCTGGAGCTGCCGGGACAGTATCTTCTCGTACACATCCACCAAGTCCGCCTCTTCTCGTTTGAAATCATTGTAGGCGCGGTCCCAGAGTCGCACGGGTAAGCTGGGGGTGACACCATCCGCGTCAGTGGACGTCTCGGTCTTGGTGGAATCGGTCGCCGGCGCGGCTGGGAGTTGCGAGGCGGACGTAGCGGTGGCGGCGGCGATTTTCGTGGGGTGAGAGATATCGATGCTGGCGGCAGAGACTTCCGTCGAATCTTTGCGGTAGGAAGACGCACAAGACATCACAACGGCAACGCCCTTCTCTTTGTCCCGAGAGCCTTCCCGATCGTCGGGATTGTCGGGTCGGTCGGGTAGGTGAAAAATCTTCCGGAGAAACGGACGTACTACTTGAGGCATCGTAGGTTTTGGGAAGGAAAGCCTTGATTACGGCTACTTTGTCGATAAGGCGATGATGACATGGAGTCGACCTTTGGGCCGCAATCTCAAGATCGCACGAAAGCTGGCTGATGCTGTTCGCCCCGCCTCATGGCGACAAGCAGCAGCCAATGGCGTTCGCAGGCGACTACGCAACATCTTTGATTGGCGTTTTCCTCGGCGCGGTATGTGGTGCAAAAGGCATCTGAACAGCCGGCAGCGCAGTGAAGACCGTTGTGTGGAAGGCTTCGAAGAGTTATACCTAAGGAATCTCAAGGATTGCGAGTAGGGTAGTTTGTACCCATAGTTCACGAGCACGCCGCCTGATGGTCGACTGCTAATCACGTGCATGCAGCACTAGTGTACTTACCTGCTGCTGCCAAAAGGTATGGCTGACCATGTCAACACTGCGAAATTTAGGCTAAGCTTTCAGCCATTATTGGATACACGTCGTACTTCGGAGTACCCTCGAGTACTTGCCCGGCGGGGATATGGTGGGAACGAATGCAGGGAGAACCTCGATTTTACTCAGCGAGCAGGACTGCAGGAAGATGGGAGAAGACACTTGGGAATCGTCACGAAACCGATGTCGTTTTCATTTTTGGAACACAGCAGAAGGAATTTATATGTATTGCAGCCTCTCTGAATACTCCATCATACGCTTCGTGCTCTTTCGTAATCGTCCAAGAATACCTCCACATCACAAAACAAAACGCCATGCAACCCCCGCTGGTATTCCCTTCTTAGTGAAGAAACTGTACATCTTCGGCTTATTGATCGTAAGCATGTTGAGATCGTAGCATTGCGCCAGAGTCAGCTCTCGAGCTGCGTTATAATGCTGCTTCTGTTCCTCGGTGCAAACTTGGGCCTGGTGCCAAGCGCTGTATGCCTTGACCGCGCCTTCCCTGGGTACGTTGAGCCGTGCCAGCGGAGAGTTTGGGAACACAATGTTGGGAGAGGCTGGAATGTTAGGTGCGGCGCCGCTTCCGGGCCCACATCGATGGCATTGATTGGACAGGATGCCGGCGGCTGAGCCATCCGAATCGCGTCGCCTCCGCTTGCGTGACTTCTCCCGCTCTTTCTGTACTCTCTCCTCCCGCTCGCGTTCCGCATCCCGGATCAGTCGGCGAAACTCTTCTGGGGCATCGTCGTGGCCGTCCAGGGGTTTCCCAGCCTACATGTGTTCGGCAAGCATCCTGACGTGATGAGGCCAAAGGGGGTAGTGTTTTCCGTCGTGCTGCCAGCAGTGGTCGGAGCCTTTTGTACACGGCGGCCCGGGACAACGCATAAGGAGATACGCCTTCCTAATACACGCGCCTCGTTCTAGACCAATAGTCTTGGCTTCTAACTCTGCTTGCTGGTTGGCTGTTACACCTCTTCTGCCGGATTTAGCCGAGTCCACATTCTGGTAGAAGAATATCACCGCGACGGTCATCTTCTTGCCGTCAGCAGCAAACCTGCCCCAGTCCTGGAGTTGCTTCGAAACGTATTTCCAATCAACCTCCAGTTTTGGATATCGCTTTGTTATACTGGCAGTTTTGCGGTCGGTTACGGACAGAACAATTTTCGTGTCTTCTTCCTTCCACAGCTTGTTGGCTGTCACAGCGGTCACCTTAGGGTGAAGGACGTGTTTCCAGAACTTGCGTGGCGAAATCACGATGCCCAACTCCGATTCGCCAGTCTGCTCCCTCTTTTTCAAGCATATCTTCCATTGCGTTCCAGTAGATCGTTCGTTCGCCTTCGTATGACCGTTCTGGGTCCCAGTTAGCATGTAGTACGAACGTGAGGGCAGTCCCTGCAGGTCTCAGCTGGCTTCTTGGAACGGGCTAGGACTCTTCATCTTCCGATGAAGAACCGGAGTTCTGAGAGTCGCTCGCATCTTCACTTGGCCAGTCGTTGGCAGTCTCGAATTGCTCCATAATATTACCACATCACAGGAAATTGCCTGGCCGCTCCTCGTCGGTTCACTGTCCAACCCAACAGCCCACCAAGAGCCCTCCCCCACCTTGCATTCTAAAACCTTCGATCATCTTCCATGGAATTCTCCAGTCTAAGTCACGTGAATGTCACAAGAAGTACCGGCTAGACTCATAACTGTACGTGTTTACGAACGAGATGGGGAATGTTCCCCTCCTACTATTGTTCACACACTGTCAACGGCGTCCTTCTATAGCCTCAGGGCGGCAGGAACCCAATAAAACACAATTGCCAGTCAAGCGAAAAGCCCCCTAAGTAGGCCCAGAGTGTGTGGTACGGTACGGCGAGCACTACCATACCACCTACAACTGATCTGAGGTCCTGAGATCAATACCGAAACATTAATTGATCTTCAATCTGAATCCGAGTTTTGAGCGGTTGAGTTTATAACGCGAAAATTAATACCCATATTGTAAACGTGTTCTTTACTCAAAACCGCAGTCTTCACGAGGGACCGTACCCGGCCGTCGTCCCTCTCACAACAAAACTCGAGGAGTAATCGACCCCATTCAATCATGTGATCCATAGTAAACGTTATTTCCCTCAGCAGTATAGAGATGATATCACGATCCATGTATGTACACCGAACAACAGTCTACCAACACAGAAAACGTCCCCCAAATAAGATACTTCCAATTCAGGTCATAACATTCAATCGACCCTGATCGCAACCTCGACCTCACCCTCTCGAGTCTCCTCCCGGCTGACTACACCGGTACACCCAACGGCACGCAACCTTGGCTTTCCTTGGCTCTCCTTGGCTCCTTAACTCTGCTTGTTTGCCCTTGGCTCTGCTCGGCCGCTCTTGGCTCCTTTCATCGCGGGGATCTCGGCCAGGTGGGGGGATCGGGGACTGCAAACAGGTCGGACGACGCTATGAAACGGGTAGGATGGGGCGGCCGTGGGTTGTGTTCAATCTTGTTTGTGGCCGGCGTGTTGGAGTGTTGGAGTGTGGGAGGGTTTGGGATGGTTTGGGATGGTTCGGGAGGGTGCGGGCTAGCTTGGGGGCTATTGGGTCGGGATTTAGGTCAGTATTTGGGTCGGTTGTTGGGTCTTGCTAGGTTTGTTGTCGGGTCGGTTGCTTGTTTCGATGGTCCTTGTGATTGTGGTAGGTGTAGATCGGTGGGTGTGCTGCGGGATGCGGGTATGGATGTGGATGGTGGCGGAGGGTAAAGGATTAGGTTGGGTCGGATCAATCTGGTGGGAGTGCGGTGGTATAGCGTCAAAATCGAGGTAATTAATTAATCCGATATTGCGGCGTAGGATGGAGGGACATCCCACTGGATGAGAATGTCAAGATTCCCCAAGAACTTCGCGATTCGTTGGATCACACCTTAGCAATGTCATGAAATAACCCCCCTGCAAATAATAGGAAACAATCCATTAATGATTTATTATCGAACCGTTGCCATTTTCAGCCCTACAACAGCACACGACCCGTGTTGTTTCAACTTGGCCGTCTCAGCCCTACCAACCAACCCCGGTTTTGAGTATTTTTTTGGGGGCCAGTTCCGACGAATTAGGAGAGTGCGGGAGAGAATGATTTGCGAGGCTATTTGATTCCAAGTCGGACTCGACCCAAACCTGGAAAAGGTGGCTCCCACGCGGCCGGGCCGCATAGTTGGGTCTTGGCCCCCGCCGAGCATGGCCAACAACCGGATTTGCTGTGCCGTGCTGGGTAGGTATCAGGCGATCCACGGTGGATTTTCGAAATGTATGTAGGTTGAGGCTTGGATTCATGGATTTTAGGATTTGCCAATGGCTTGTCCAGTAATTAGTTAATATCACGGCTGCGGGATGATTGTGGTCGTTACGATGAAAGGATTGCGGGGGAGGATAATTACAGAGTTGAAGTCCAACAACGTGCAGACACAGTATCTCTGGCACATGTACCGTCAACGTCTCAAAACTGAACCAAATTATCATCCCACGACCCAATGTCAATTCGGACCCCACGACCGCCATCTCGGTTTGGGACCACAGCCTGAGGCGGGCCGCTTTCTCCTCCAGGCCAGCACCGTCCCATCTACGGCCTTCCTCCAATATGGGGTACAAGATCTTTGGTGTTACACAGTACGTGTTCCGAGAGGTATTAAGAATGCTTCGAGCTGCCGTTGAGACCAGACGTTCCACTGCTCTTCAGCTTCATTCATTATCATCCCAAGACATTCCTTAGTTTGTTTATCTCGCTCTCTTCGTCACTCCTTTTGAAGACGCCACTTACCACGCAGTTTCTGTTTAATCCTTATCAGTCAAAGTTTATCTTACTTTACAACAATCATGTCTCACACTGAGATCAAGAAGGGCGAGTGGCAGACTGGTCTCTGCGACTTCATGAGCGGCGGCCACTGCCTGGTTGGTTGCTTCTTCCCCTGTATCTGTACGTATTGACCGTCTACTGCCTCCTTCCTTCTCCAAATTGTGACAAACAAGAAGAGAGGCAAAACAACTAACACCTCCACCAGTGGCCAACCAAACCGCCGAGCTGATCGAGGACCCGGACGAGAAGGAGCCCGAGAAGTGCGGCACTGTCGGCTGCGCGTGGTGTCTCTGCAGCGGTTTCAGCGTGCTCTTCGGCTGCTTCCAGCGCAGGAGTATCCGGAGGATGGCCGGGATTGAGTCCAACGTCTGCTGCGACTTCATCATCAACGGTTGCTGCCCGTGCTGCGCGCTCATCCAGCAGCAGAAGGAACTCGAGATCCGCCGTGATGTGCGGTTGGCTGCTAAGCAGGGTTACCAGGCGCAGCCTCCTATGCGCCGGCCTTAAGCCTTCTGTCCCACCTGAGCGGAAAGTGAAGGCGTCTTCTACTATTGGGGTGTATGGCTGCTGAGGCGTTGGCCGTGTTTTGGTTGCGCCTTTAGGTATTAGGGAAGGTTTTCAGGGTCGGTCTTTTTGGCTCTTGGCGTCTGCTTGTATGACTATTAGCGTTATTAGTTTCGGAATTTGGGATACAGTGTGCGGATGGGACAAATTGATTTTTCCCAGACTCGACGTCGGTATTACTCCCTTTTCCATGGCATGGCGAAGGTTAAGGTGGCTTCTTTGAGTTGTGTTGACTTATCACTTGTGTTGACGGTAAACCTCCAACACGCGAGTCCACGTCGTTGCGTTGACCTCTTTTTCGAGTTCCCTATCAGAGCAACGAGAGTAAGGGAGTGAAGATCTGTGCGTTGTACCTTTCTCGACTTCTTTGCATTGTTGAAATAAAAAGCAAAATACCATTAAGGTTAGGGCTTGTCATAAAATTAAAGTGGGATAACTGGAATATTTGTGCATGGTTGGCGCACGTGGTAACGTTAGGGGAAAAGGAAGTTTTGTAGGGCGGTTTTCGGTTTTGGCTGTGTATTAAGTTGTAGAATGAACCGCGCGTACCGCGCACATTAACCCAACAGTCCACAGGAAATGGCATGCGTGCCCCCCACTCCCAACACTGGTTGCATTGGGTTGCCTAGATATCAGGCAGTAATTGCGGCTCACAGTCAAGAATTTGGGCCCGCGAGGCCACCCGATCATCACAGGCCTTCTTCGCCTTTTCCTGGCGATACCATACAGAGACCGTCGGGTTAGTGCCGGAACCGCCAACCTTCTCTTGGATCTCCCTATTCAGACGCCCTGAGACCCTCTCCACGGCGAGTTCCGCCCGCCTCTCCTGCAGCGACGGCAGCCCAGGACCACGCCCGAACCGTTGCTGCTGCCCAAATCTTCGGAGTCCCTTTCCATTCTGTGACCTCTGTTCACACCTCCCGGACCTCTTGACAAACCCCCTCCACACCCTTTGTACCACATCTCACACGGTAACCGCGGGATCAGAAAAACCTCCAAAGGATCTGGTTGGCTAATTAGGCGACTGCGACAGATATCAGAGGCGCGCGAAACGTGGAACGTATCATGATGGAGATGTCTGACGTGTGGGTGTGGCAATCAATGGTGAACACCCACGCCGCGCGCAGAATTATCAATAAGCAGAACTATGGCCGATGGCGGCCGAAGTAAGGCGGTCGACAAATTCACACAGATAGCCAACCAACGCAAGCGGCCTCAACCTAACGGAGGTCCCTCCTCCTTGGAGAAAAGGGCCACAGTCGCACCCAACTCGAAAGTTAAAAGGCACCAAGCGCACTTGTTTAAGTCCCGTCCAACACAACATTACCACCATGATCTTAACTCCCAGTTCTGCGCCCAAGTGGAGCCAACAATAATTAGTACTTTTTTTTATGACAACCATCTAAACCCTCAACCCTCCATCGTTTACTCTAGCCGCGATCATGGAGCGCAATATCTCAGCCGCATCCGCACAACCATTCTACATGATCGCTCACCGAGTGCTGACTGTTCAGGGGGTGAACGACGCCCTCAGTCACGGGGCCAATGCTCTCGAGATCGACATGACGGCCTGGAGCGACGGCTGGTACGCCAGACCACGACGGGAGGGCCACCTCGTGGGGTGACACGGCCGAGGCTACGTTCACTCGAATCTGCCAACACCACGACGCCGGCAAGACAATCTTGTTTGTGTGGCTGGATATCAAAAGAAATCCGGACCGTTGGGACCCGCAAAGTGCCGAGTCGCGCCATTCCTCCATCGATGGACTTCGTGACTTGGCGCGAAAGCATCTCACTTCAGTGGGGATCAGGATCCTCTATGGGTTTTACGACGCAACGTCCAAGGCCTACGTCAGAATCCGGGGCAATCTCATTAATGAAGAGGCGATCAATCTCAACGGGAGAGTTGAAGATGTCGCGCCGGCATTCGCGAAGGGACCCGAGGCCCGATTTAAGAAGGTCATGTCGTACGGATACTACAACCTCCCCTTTCAGTTCGGCAATGGCCACGAGAAGCGATACTACACCTGCACCGAACTTCGGATGGCCGCCCGGTCGCATGAGTATGGTAAGGTCTTCGGGTGGACGACTGCAGCCGGCCAAGCGTATTATGTTGACAAACTGCTTGGCGAGGCGGGAGTCGACGGGCTGATTTACGGGTTCAAGATGACTTACTACTACGACCATGAGAACACAAGAGCAGCCGCAGGGGATATAATTTCTTGGGTCCGGAACCACCCCGAGAAACGGTTCATGGCGGGCAAAGGGGACTTTCCTTGGTGAACAGATGTTGGCCGGCCGATGGTAACACCATTTTCATTCCATTGTAGTTAATGTAGTTACAAGAGAGCTACACTTCCCGGAGGATCTTGCCACAAACAAGACTCATATAACTAAAACCCTCACCTCTGACCCCTAAGGAGAGCCAAAAGCCAACATATAGTGAATCACGTGCCACTCCCCCGCACATTCAGACTGGGAACAATCCGTTTGGACGTCTAAGTGCTTAGATTAATTCCTGTAATGAGACTAAAAGACTCTCAACACTTTGAGTCCTTTGACTCTCTTGGTAATTGTCAATTCCTTTTCCATAAACGGCTCAGAGATTACTTGTACTCCCGGGGGTAAAGATTCCCTCGTTCGGTGGGACTGCACATCCATGGGTGCCTGCATGCGCGTTCAGGTTCAGTGCGATACATCATAGGTGCCAGTAGCGTTCCCGCCCAGTCCCCCTCTCTTGGCACCCTAAAGCCCAAGGCTCCCAACGGGGCTCCCAACAGGGCTCCCAACAGGGCTCCTAACGGATTGTTGTGGGACATAGGAATCAACTTGAACGGGCTCTTCAATTTGTTAGCATCTTACCCATCGGAACCCTGGCCGTTGCGGATGACGAGTGCGAACAAGACAGAAGTAACATTCGTCTGCCACCTGGACTCCTGGAGTCTTGGAGTTTCGAAATGCGACTTATCGATACCTCGACCCTGCGCCTCATCAGCAAACATGACGGCGCTATCCCCCCCTACGCTATTCTCTCCCACACCTGGGGGACCGACGAGGAGGAAGTCAGCTTCCAGGAGTGGCAAAGTCTGTCCGCTGTGATGCACAGCGGCCGTCTCGGCCACCTGCTGGCCAAGAAGGAGCCCATCGCCAAAAGGGAAGGATTTGCCAAAATCCGGGATGCGGCACGTCTGGCAGAATCCCAGGGTTACCAGTACCTCTGGGTGGACACCTGCTGCATCGACAAGACGTCGAGCGCAGAGCTCTCGGAGGCCATCAACAGCATGTTCCGGTGGTATCGCAACGCAGCTATCTGCTATGCCCTTCTAAGTGACGTCGTCTACGGGGAACCCCCTACCGGCACCCGGTTCCCGGGTTATCCAGACAAGGCGAAACCGGACGGACCCGCGCAGCCGGCGCTCGTGCGGGCTATTCGGTCCAGCAGATGGTTCAAGCGCGGTTGGACCCTGCAGGAGCTGATTGCTCCCGAGGACGTCTTTTTCTACTCCAAGCAATGGTGTCCACTGGGTTCCAAGCTACGCGGCCCGCCTGGGGCGAAGGCACGAGACGTAATAAATCCTGAGTTAATCAGCGAGATCACGGGGATCGACCTCCATGCATTGCAGGGCGACATTGAGTTGGAGGAGCTCAGCGTTGCGAGCCGGTAGGCTTCACTCGCGGCGTTCCAGTCCGAAGAAAACTATTAGTTAATTACTGATTCATTTCCTAGCATGAGGTGGGCGGCGAACCGCGAAACGACCAGGGCTGAAGATAAAGCATATTGCCTTATGGGTATCTTTGGCGTCAACATGCCGTTGCTGTATGGTGAAGGGGATCGCGCCTTCATCAGGCTCCAGGAAGAGATTTTGAAGTGTAAGTCGCTGTTCTTCCATGGTTCTGTAGGTGTTGTGGCTCTGCATGTAATTAGGTATTAAAGTAGGCGTGGCAGCGACCGACGACCAGTCCATCTTCGCTTGGAAATGTCCCCCAGACAATCCTCTTCGGTTCCAGTTGTGCGGCTTACTGGCCCCCAGTCCCTCCTTCTTCGCGGCTGCTGCGCTGAAACCTCTTCCGCGGGATCCATCCCGAGTTAGTGCGCCGTTCTCCATGACCAACGCCGGCCTCCATATCCGCCTTTTCTTGAAGGCCATTAACCCGACGAGCGGGGCTCATGACAAGGCTGATGAAACCAGCCAGGGGTATTACGGCGTCCTCGCATGCGCTCCTTATGTAACCGCAGACGGAGAGGCCTATAGCGCAGCTATACACCTTTCATCGCTCGGCGGCGACCAGTATGCCCGCGTGTATCCACAAACCATGTCATCACTGCCCTCCAGCCTGCTGGCCAACCCGGGACATGGGGACGGCTTCCAATATATCTACGTCAAGCAATTCCCCGCCTACGGACTTCCCGAAATTCATGTCGGCCCCTTCCACTTCGGGTCTCACGCGTCACTCTTGCTTGACAACCCCATCGAAATTGTGGCCGCGTATCCTGACGACACGTGGAATGAGTCGGCATTAACACTGAAGCCGACCATGACCCTTCCAAACACGGTCCTGGGTGCGTTTCGATACGCGTTAGCCTACCGAGACGGGCGACTGGGAGACCCCGTAGACGTATTTGTCGGACTGGGACCGGGGTCTGAGGGCCCGCGGATGTTCTGGTGCGCTCAGCAGGGGGCCCGCAGGTGGGGGTCTCTGGCAGAGATCGCGACGGACTTTGACAGCTCGACGATCACGAAGAAAATGCGTACGATCCCCCAAGATCAGCACCCGTTCTTCAACGTACTCGCTCGGGTTCTGACCGTCCGGCTACATACTCGGACCATGATCCGTCTCAGTCTATCCGAAATCCACGAGAGCACTGGGGTCGAGAGATTCGGACCTGTCGCCGGGGGTTCCATACCCCTCTGGGCGGCCGAGATCGACTCCAATCCTATCGAGATCGACAAGCAGACCACACCAGCGAGCGTGCCAAGCATGGCTTCCCTGCAAGATGCTCAGCCATTTGTTATCGAGGAGTCCTGGGATACTAGTCTTGGATTTGGCGTGCTTAAGCAATCGGCAGCGACGTTGCAGACGAGGATCCGGGTCCGGGCGAAGGCGGCCGATCCGCCGGATCTGGACGTCGTATCACAGGACTACTGGCCGCTGCGCCATCTCGTTGTCTCCCTACCACGGCCAATCCGGATTCGCCTGGACGGGGAGCCACGTTCGTGGAAGGTGGCTGACGACGAGATGCATGTCCAGCGGTACTTCTCCCTCCTTCTCGCCCAGGCGTGCGTCCGGAATGACGTCGATTCGGCCGCGGAGCTGCTCCGGAGCCCCCTTAGCAACGCCACGGTGGAAGTGCAGACGTGCCTACAGAGCCCGGATGCCGAAACGCCACTGTGGCATACCACTTTCCGAAAGTTCCGGCCCCTTCATTGGGCTGTGCTGCTCGGCCACCGGGATATTTTGAAGCTTTTGCTCGCCCATGGCGCCGATGTCCTTAGTATCACGGGCATTCGCTTGTCCGTCATCCACTTAGCCGTGGTCATGGGCCGCGTGGAACTTCTCCAGGACCTCATGAGAGCGATCCCCGAGAGCTGGGGCAATACAGAGCCGGACTGGTTTGAGAGGACAGATGTCAAGGAACCCATAGCCCACCTGGCGGCCTCGTACATAACGTCCAACGCGGTCGCAGGAATCCTCGAGCGCGTCATGCGAACAGCAGATGACCCTGACCCTGACTCTGAAGAAGCCGCCACCGTGTGCACCAATGCCCTCTACAACACACTGCACGAAACCCCCTTACACCGAGCGGCCGCGAACGGCAACCTAGCCGCGGCCAAAGCCATACTGGAGTTGGCGCAACTCGCGAGGACGGAGGTCGATCCGAAGGATCATAATGGCCGAACACCACTTTGGCACGCCGCTGCAGCTGGCGCTCACGATGTTGCCGAGCTTCTCCTGCACCACGGCGCCGACCGCAACGTCCCCGATGACAAGGGCTGGATCCCCTTGCACGCGGCCTGTCGGGGCGGTCATGCTCGAGCGATGCGGCGACTCCTAGAACATGACGACGAAAGCTTGAACAAGCTAATAGCACCGGAGAATCCCCCACCCATCTCGGCATTTCACCTCGCCGTGCTCTCCGGCAACGCAGACACTCTCCGTACCATCCTTTCCCTCGGTGTTGGGGTTGTGGACCCAAACGAAGAGCTCGCATGCGCCGGCCGCTCTGTCATCCCGCTCCACATCGCCGTGTGTAACGGCTGGCTCGAATGTGTTCGTCTATTCTACGAACTAGGCTGCGATATAACGGAGGAACGGAATCGAAAACAATCCGCGGATACCCTCATTGTGGAACCTCAGGGCGGCGGAACCGTGGTCCTTCACGTCAGAGTGGGTAGTGACCCCAGTCCTAATGCTTTGGCTCTTCACTACGGCCATTATGCCGTCATGGATTACATTCATGAGCGCCGGCTACTTCAGGACGCACAAGGGCCGACAAGTCGCTGAGGCTCCGGGCTGGAGCGAATCAGCAAAGATGATGATGATCAATGCAACTCATTCACTCTTGTGTACCGGGCCCTCGAGACTTATGCCCGTGGCAGTCTTGGAGAACATCAACCGGAGGAGCAGGAGGAGCGGAAGACTTGGATCATTTCGGGGTGTAGGCGGACAAACCGCGAACGTTTGGAAGGAATTGCTCCGACACGCCTTGGTGGCGAATAATTATCCACGGGATCAATTCTGTACGGCTCGCTGAAAAGTCGTTTGTGATGGCCTTGACGGTCGAGTCTCTCTTGTCTATCTTTCCCGTGTCTCGGTTCCTCGACGCAAGGGTATACGCTGATGGCAACGGTCCAGGGAGTCTCCAGAAGGAATGACTAATTATTCCCTGTTGCAAAATGCACCTCAGTATCCACCGCAGGATCCACCGCAGCCAAATCAGCAAAGAAGAGAATAAACGCGAAGCTGGCTTGGCTGGCGCGAATGTTCTGATACGGCGGTTAATTATGGATTGTTGTGGACACCGTGCCTAGGTAGACATCTGCTTGATCGATGACGACAGGGGGTCGCCGTCATGACCGCATCACGACCCCAACAACCAGCAAAACACACCAACAAGACCAGCTCCACGAAAAGCAGGAAACACCAAGTTTACATTGTACTACTCACCGTGGAAATGGAGTATTTCATGTCGCAGGAAGAACACGAGCGACGGCTTGAGCAAGAACGAGCTGAACAAGGAGCACGGGAACAAAGCTCACAGCAGAGTAATAGCACCAACCAGCAGCAACCGATTCCACCTTCAGCACAACCCCAACAACAACTACAAAATCACCAACATGGCCAGCCCGCCGACCCCTCCCAAGCGCATCCGCGAAAACAATCACCCGCCCCTGATCATCAACCCACACAAGCGAGTCCCACTGCTCAAGACCGCCACGCACCAACCATCGCCAGAACCAACACTGCCCATCACCAACACCAAACACCACCCCGCTGAGGCCGGCCCACTATCCCGGGATTCCCTCACCGAACCCAAACCTAGAAGCCAAGGCTCCATCTTCTTCATCGGCACAGCAACCACCATCATCACCTACACCCCCCCAGCCCAGCAAGCCCCCCTCCGCCTCCTAACAGACCCCAACTTCCTCCACGCGACTGAGCACGTCCATCTCGGCCCCGGAGTCACCGCCGAACGCCTCACCAACCCGGCAGTCCCCGACCTCGCTTCTCTGCCTCCCATCGACGCCATTTTACTCTCCCACTACCACGAAGATCATTTCGATCGGAAAGTCCAGGCGCAACTCAGTCGGGATGTACCTATTGTTACGACGCCGCATGCGCGGGGGTGTTTGGTAGATGCGGAAGAGAAGAGTGGGGGGGAGGGGTTTAGACGGGTGTGGGGAGTGGATTTCTTTGAGGGGGTTATGCTGCTACCTACTCCAGAGGGGGCGGGGGATAAGGGAGAAGGGAATAAGGGGGCGATACGGGTGACGGGGATGCCGGGGAAACATGTGCCGCCTGGTGTGGTGGGTGTTGCGAATGAGTTGGTTGGTGCAGTGCCGCCGACGAATGGGTGGTTGGTGGAGTTGGGGAGGACGACACACAACGCAAGAGTCACGGTGACGGGGGAGGTGGAGGTAGGCCCGGAGATAGGAGAGGCAGAATTTGAGACGGGATACCGGATTTACATCTCCGGCGATACACTCATGGTGGATGAGTTAAAGGAGATCCCGAAGCGGTTGCAGGGAGACAAGATTGATTTGATGCTGGCGCATCTCGGGGGTACGACAATTCCGGGGCCGAAGATGCCGCTGTTGATGGTTACGATGGATGGGAAGCAGGGAGTGGAGTTGATAAAGCTGGTAAAACCGGACGTGACGGTACCGATTCATTATGATGATTATGACGTGTTTTGTTCACCGCTGGATGATTTTAGGAAGGAAGTGAAAGCGGCTGGGTTGGGGGCGAAGGTGGTGTATCTTGATCGGGGGGAGGAGTACAAGTTTGAGTTTTGAATGTACACACTGAGGTTGAGACGGAGGGCATGTGGACGGGGTTGTGTTGTCGTCTATCAAGCGTTGGATTAGACGCTCGAGTACCGATGAATAAAATGAAGAGCCAATATCCGATCGACAGCGAAAAAGCAAAAGTGAAAGGCGAGGCTGTCACAGCCTGCCAGCACAAGCTGTATGTACATTCCGTGATAGTCACGAGGTTCGGCCGACTCCGACCAACCCAATACCTATCATCTCGCCGTTTCTGCTTCCACACAATCTGCTTCCACGAAATGCGATCGCCCTAGGACCCGAGCTTAAGTGTTTCCCTCATGTTCCTGCACCGTTCCTCGTCTTTTTCATGAGACTTGTAAATCTCATAAAACTCCTTCCGGTTCTCAAGGTCTAGGTACTGGCTCACATCCTTGATGCAATTACGATATCCCAGAAAGAGAGACACAAGATCCCCGTAATCCGATACCGTCGTGCATTTCTTCCGCGACAACTTGTAGTCGACTTGCCAGTTCAGATGGAGCACCTTTACATCCATTCCCTGTGGCGTCTTGATGGCGGGGAGGATTTTTTTCAACCCATCCTTCCGCTGGGAGATTAAAAGGGGAGGACAAGTCGCCTTGAAATAGTCAGATACGTCCATGCAGCTACAAATGGTATTTACCGGCCACACCCTTCTACAGATGTGTAGGAGGGAGGGTCCATGGTCCAGATCCTTGGAACTTACCGACAAGCATAACATGTGCAGTTACAACTTGGCCTCCCTCCGCAATATCCACAAGCAATGGCTCTCTTGCCTTTCTCCAAAGTAATGGAACGACAGAATCGCCCTGTTTAGGGTTAGGGTTGAAATCCATAAATACTCTCCCCGAGCACAATTTAACAAGCCATACCATGGTTGAGATTGGAGAACGGCTCTGATCTTCTGAGTAGTTTTTGCTTGGACAAGGAGGTCCATGTATTTGGTGTCGCGAAGCACACCTCTCAGTTTCATCGCCCAACCACCGCACCACGCAAATTCCATGTCATTATCTTTAAACGCGTGTACCAGAATAAGAGCAGCCCCTCCTAGGTGTTCTAAAGTTGCGTTTGCGGCATTCTTTACAAGCCCATCCAGGTCTGTTAGTGAGGCCTGGCCATAGTATCTGGCGACTGCCGGTAAGTTACTTCCAGCAGTTTGGGACATGTTACAATGGACCGGTGTGTGAAGTTCGACGAAGGTTCTGATGTGGGCTCGGATGGTGTGATCAAAGATGAGGACACAATGAGCTTCTTTGGCCTCGAGGTCTTTGGTGCCCTTTAACGCTCACTGCTACGTTCCCTGTGGCCCCCTTATCCAACGAAGACCGACCTCCATTCGGTGAGGCAGCCTGAGTCGGCTGGTCGTCCGCAGGCCTACCTCATGAGCCTCACTTCAGCTTTTCTTTGGCCCGCTTGCCGACATTGTGTGTCTTGGGTGTTCAGTTTATCATTTGGAACATCACTTCCACCAGAAATATCTACATCACGCGCCATGTGATCAGTGACATTTTTCCCGACCTGTTCCTCGACCTGTTTGCCGGCCGGTACGGCGGCCTGTTCTGGTCAACCACATCCCTCGTGAACGCTTTCACAAATAATTAATAGCCTATCATCGAGGCCGGCCTAATTAGATATTGTTTCTACAAGCATGTGCCAGCCTCCAGTGTGGTTTATTGATTGGTGTTGACAACGGCGCTTGTCAGGATCCAAATTTGTCGACCGAGCTGAGCGGTTGCAAAGTGGAAGGGAACAACAAACGAGCGTCGGTGCCCAGTCCGAAAGAGAATTGAAGGAACCTCAACGCTCTTCTCACTCAGATGATTATATTGGGTCCGGGGAGAAGGCTCGGTTTCGTTAAGACGAGAACAAGGCAGTAAAGAATGTTTTTGCTGGGGACAATTTCCAACTCAGGAACATGTGCCGGGCTTCTCATTTGGCCACCGCTTCCATGACCTCGGGCGCCAATTTTGGCTCTGTCTAGCGCTTACGGAAACGCCGATATGATCCAAACCGATTCAACCACAAACTTAATTGTTTGGTTGGCAGTCAAACTTCACCGTAAAGCCGCGTTATCAAGGCCAAAGCTGGACTCGGCCCAATCCACGCACTGATTTATCACGCGACCAACAATACACTTAACTACCGTGTCGATGTCTGCTAAGGGCCCTCTTCACATTGGCAAAGCACATTGGTCAGGTAAAGCCGAGTCAAGGTAAAGCTAACGGTCAGACAAAGCCCAGCTTCCTTTCACCTTTCAAGTCCTGCTCAACTCTGCCGACCGTCGATCCGTAGCCACTCGACAAAACAAAAAGGGGCGTCTCCTATACGCCAAGCTCCAGCTCGTCGTGTCCCAAGGCTGCATCATCATACCTTGCGTCATCCTATCTTGCACCTGGACTGGAGAGATCCAATTCTAGGATATCAAACAAGCACTGGGTTAATCACGGCGCGGTTACGAGCAGTTGAGAACGAACTCTGGTTCGTCAAACTAGGACCGGCTCATGGGGGCGTGCTTTTGCAAATAAATCTTCGTTATCTGCTCAAAAGGGTCCAGAAGCGGTCGCTCTGAGGACAAAAAACTGCCCCCTTTGAACAACAAGGAAGATAATAAGATATCGCTATTGTAGGGAGCCCGAGAACGTGAATCTGGAACTCGTATTTCGCTTTCATTTTGGGTCGAGTTACTGACTCAGTAAAGTGTAGGTCATACGCTGGGTCGTTCTTGATGATTGAAACGGCAGGGAACGCGTTTACGCTCAGTTTTCACCACTCCGTTTTCAATTCCCGTTTTCCGACGTTTGCTGTGGTGTGAATCTCATGTCGCCTTGCTGTCTGGGCCAACCAAACTTGTTTATAACCCCCTCCATCTGTCCGTCTTGGCGAAGGGCCGCTTTCGTTTTTATGTGTGGAAGAATGCCAACTGCAGCCTGTGCATACTTCACGTGAGGTTCACGCAGGAGGGCTATTCTGTGACTGAAAAGGAGATGTGTCATCCAGCAGACGGTTTTGGAACTCTTCGAGCTGGTATCCAATCAGCCTGCATCAACCTGGCGTAGCTGGTATCCAATCAGCTTGCATCTATCTGGCGTTGGAGCCGTGATGCGGCCAGCAGGGGCTTGTTGGACGCTCCCTCGCTCCTACGAGAGTCGATGACAACCCAGGGCGAGGCGATTCAAGCCACAGGGATCATCGACCAACTTCGTGCAACGAACGGCTAATTTTAGACAAGCCTTAACTCATTGGCCAGGTGGGAACCAAGTCAAGCAGCCAGCACCATCTTTACGCCCACTTTTATCCGTATTTAGGTGAAGGAGGTGCCTTGGCAAGTACCGAATTAAGCAATTAAGCTGCATCTTCGGCAGCCATTTCCCCCAACTCGGCAGACTTCACGATACGTAGTGCATTGCCGAGAACAAGCAGAACTCGCAAGACTCCCCAATCCGAAATCATCGCGTCGATATTCATTCGATGGACGCTCCCAATATGGAGGACCCCGCCTCGACCGAGGCCGCCGCTACCGCTACCGCCAACACGCCCCACCTTGACAGTCCCGTCCGGGTATTAGTGCAGACCCGAACGCACCTCGTTCCCGGCGATAAGTCTACCGGCTTTGCGGAGAGAGACACGTCTGGCAGCGCGAGTTCGACCAATCCCGCGAGCGCCACTGGAACTACCAATGCCACTTTGCCCTGGACAACGTTGAGTGCTGGTTCCTCGTCGACCACCACGGCCCGGAGGAGAGTCCGCCGCCATACCCGCCGATTGTATGGTATCGATGGACCGGAACAGAATTGTTTGTCTTTATCTCTTAGGTTACCTACCACCGTGGCAATTTAACTAACTCCGGCAGTATGTTGGTGCGCGACCCGCTCCCTAGTAGGGTGCGTCGTGAGCTCCGGTATTATCCATTCCAACGGGTTAACCGGGTCCTTATTCAGGAGTACCCTAAGCAGCCACCTCTAAGGCGTTACAAATCCCGTACCGAGGAGATACGCGTAAAGCGGTGGATACTCTACGAGACGTTGCTTAGTAACCTAGGCTTAACTGAGGAGCTACTAGGATTTGTAAGGGATTGTCCTGAGGCGGCGGAATGGGTGAAGCTACGGGTTCCACCGGAGGCTTGGGCGAGACTTGAGGGTCTTTCAACGTTCGCGCTACAACAATACGAGCCCGAAGAGGGCCACCCCTAGACTAGGTCGTTAGATCTGGTTGGCCGCCCAGAGAGTTAGAGGAGGCTGCGGTACCTTAATTATTATACACCCAATTCCAAGACGCGGACTAGCTGAATCACAGTGATATTCCAAAGTGCCAGGCACATGCGCCGTTTAAAATATCTAGACCAGCTAAAGGTGAATTCTATTCAAAGGTACCAGACCTTCCTAGACCTCTAGCCTAGCTAGCTAAAGGACAACCCCCCTTCCGAGCGCCAAGTCTACGTACTAGGTGGGGTAACCCTATGGGACCAGCCTATAACGAACCCAACACCAAGACGAGAACTCCCCAACCCGCTACCAACCATCAAAAATATCCCCAGCAGCCGCACTTGACCTCCTTTTGAACATTCCGGCGCCTGACTCCAAGGCCCGCGCAGCGGTTGCACGGGCTCCACGACAGACGACGCTGCGTCCCACGGCAATGGGGGCATTTTGGTGCATTGCGTCCAGGTCCTGTTTTCCCTTTATAACAGGAGCATGGGACAGGGGTAGACGTCTCACCGCTGCCGTTGCACGTGGTGCAGGTTGTCTCCTCGGTCACCGTGGCCGTGTAATAGCCGTCGGGGCGGCAATAGGTGCAATGTGGATCGCGGCGGAGGCGCCCGGCGCCAGAACTGCCAGAGGACGACCGGGATCCATAACTGCTTCCGCGAGGCATCTTGTATAGTTTCTCTGCTACTTGTCAACATTGGGGAAAATGCCGAGGGGGTCTCGGAATCGAACTTACTTGGGGGTTTTGGAGATGAGTAGGGCAACGAGTCTTTTGTAAAGGCAGCGAATGCGCTCAAGAGAGCGAACGATGGTGAACTTGTCGGATGTGGAGGGGAAAACGTAAGGCAGAGTGTGCTGAGGGCGAAGTGTGTTGAACTGTTGATGGTCTAACTCAGTTCTCCTGGTAGATGGCGACTTGGCCCTTATATGCTTGTTATGGTTCTCGTCAAGTTCAAAAGGACGGTATTCCTGGTTCGGCGAGGTTGTCTCAGGTTGGGCGATTCTCATCCTCTGCTCATCGCCATCGTCTAGCCCCTACTCCCTAGCCCACCGTGACGCGACCCGGCCTGCGTTTGAGTCGGGGGCGGCGACCTTTGGGGTTCAATCCATCTGGTGAGACTCAAATCCAAATTCCAAATCACCTTTCCTAATGTAGGAACAGCAATCGAGACCGAAACCCACTATCCGCGTAGACGCGTATAACGGGGGCGATCACCAGGGGAAAGCGCTAAATTTAGAGACTCAGGAGCACCCTATGGGAATAATGGGATTTGGTCTACGTTTCTGCCCTCTTGGGCGGCGGATGTGTAACGGGCCTTCAATGGCGTGTGCCACGGCGTGATGGTAATTACAAGCACTTGACAGTTGTTCCCCAGGTAAAGGAATGGGGCCCCAATTTGGCCATGTGCCTGGACTTATCTCCTGTCACAGCTGGGTTTTCTGGGCTGATGCGCCACAGGGTGGCTTCAGTGTTCGCGGTTTCCCCTATACGGCCTCTGATTGGCCGGATCAGAGGGTGGGGCGAGTGCGACAAGCACCGCCACACCGCCCAATACTGTATATATGATTCCATTCTAAATGATTCCATTCTAAATGATTCCATTCTAAATGATTCCATTCTAAGATCGCTTCCCCCCACTGGGACTCCTTGGGATCATATTTGAGCCGTTTGTTAATTACTTCTCACCCCCCGCCTCAAGACCCCCCACCCCGACTTATCTCAGGAGCTCAGACCAGTTGGGCGGTGTTCCTCCCAACTACCCGAAGTCACCCCCATCCCACCGTACCCGCATCTCTCTGTAAAGGAACTTCCGTTAATATTACAACTTCATTAAAGAAAACTGACAAGATACCCGTTTTCACCCCGAGTGATAACCTTGAATGATTAGTTACCCCCTCTACCCCCTGTGCGAACCGAATATAGAGCTGAGCAGAACAAGGTAAATAATTGTACTATATAATCAACGCAACTTTTTCCGAAGGCAGGCTATTGGAGCCACGACTGCTTCCAAGACCCCATTGGATGGTTCATCTCAAACCAGGTTTCATGGGGCGATGGCCTGTCCGATAGCGTTGCCGCTCGTTCCACCACCTCCTCCGGATCGTCCCAGATGCCGACGAATTTAAACACGTCCGGGGTCTTCGGCGGGGGGGTTATAGGGTTTGCATAGTGATGGCCCAGAAACACCAAGTCACGGGGAACCCTCAGCTTCAAGTACCCGTTGCCGAGGAATTTCAATGACAGTTCGGCTGCCCCGTCTGCCCCGTCGTGGCACTTCACCTTGACAGCTTTCCGGCTCGCGCGTTTCGGAGCACAAAATGGCCCAAAATCAAAACACGCATACGTGTTGAGGTATACCTGGCCAATCACCATGCCGCTCCCGGTGCCCAGCTCCGGATCCTCTGGGAAAGGCTTGTCGTCGTCGTCAGGGAGGCGAAACTCAACCCGCTTGGTCGGATGGAGATCGGAGTAGAAATGGTCGACGTAGTCGGCGCAGAAAAGCCAGAACACTTGACCCGCAAGTGAGTCGACAAGAGGTCTCTCAGCTTTCTTCTTGGCCCGTTTCACAGATTTGAACACGGCGCGAACCTCCGCTTCCTTGGCCTTTTCCATGTCTCGCTGTTCCTTTCTCTCCTTCTGCTCTCGCAACAACTCTCGCTTCCTCTCCTCTCGTTCTTCTTTCAGCTCGTAGTAGTAGTCGGCGTCCGAGCCGTTGTATGACCTCTCTGACTCCCCATCCTCGTCCACGTCACTGTCGCTTAAAAATTGGCAGTCACACTCAGGATCGTCCCCACCGCATTCGCAATCATTCTCCAATTTCTCCTTCTCCTCGCCCTGTTTGGAATCGTCATCTTCTTCCTCCAGCTCAGAGATGTCCTCGTCAAAGTCCCGGGGGAGCACGTCTTTGTCTCCCTTGTAGCTGAATGCGAGGACTCGAAAGTACCACGATGGGAGATCGCGGGTATCTTTCTTCGCGGGACGGGGCTTCTCAACGCGCGAGGATTTTGCGCGTAGGGGGTCGGGTTGCTTCTGAGTCCTGCCCATATTGGCGGCGCGAGTGGCCGAGAATGCTTTCCGTTGGGTTATTTTAACGTACTGAGAAAGATAAAGGAGTGCTCGAACATGAATTTGGGTAATGTGGTTGTATGACTTCCCGGGCAGAATTGAAGGTAAACGGTCCGGTAAACATGAAATTACGAGACACGTGACTTTAATTACAAGTATCAAACTGGACTAGTACGGAGGATCATTCACATGGTCAAAATGACCCTATCGAGGACAGGCTTCGTGTCTTCCAGGAAGAAAGACAAAAAACCAGAAAATGTCACACCGAGAGCGTAAGACAAAAGGAAGAGCAAATTCCCTCCATTGCCCCAACGCAAATCCCAATCGATCCCTCTCTCCTCGCTACACAGCCCTGTCTTTATCCACGGTATTATTCTCCATGAACAATAATATGCGTAGGGGCGGCAAACAACAAAAAGTCCGGCCGAAATTCGGGTTTCCTGGGAGACGTTGGACGAGTAGACAAGCAGGGAGTCTCAAAACGACGGTGTTTCCCCTGTTCATCTTAGCAAAGGCGTCGAGGAGGACGTCCCGGAAGAGTGGCCGGCATATTCAAGCATGTACATGCACATACCTACGTCCCATTGTACTGGACGGGGTAGGGCTGTCCAACGACCCATAACATCCTCTCCCCACTTCACACGACAACGTCACAACAGAAACAAGAGGCAAACGCACCACAACAACTTCAACGACTCTATTGACCGTTGCCCGTAGACAACCCCAAAAATCGATACTCCTCATCTAAACCTTTAAGCAAACCAGAATGAATCCCAACGCCATAACCTAACCCAATAACTCAAAAAATCCCAAAAGACACTCCTCATCAATGCACCGTGGGTACAAACCCAACCCCAGACCAAAACGGGCCCGTCTGTAAAACATACCCAGCCGAACTGTCCGGCCACATGAGACAGTCAAGCTTCAAGAAACTCCCTCATATGCTAACCATCAAATGCCTTGAAACACCGGATATGTATGCCCACAGCGTCCAGTGAACTGACTTGCGCATGAGCAACTGCATGCAGCGATGCAGATCGCGCTGGCTTTCGTTGTTCCCACAGCTCATAACGCAGCTCACAGTGGAGAGCACAACACCTCTCGGAGTGTTGCATCAACCCGGTGTGTGAGACAGACCCAACTCTTGCAACATGCACTACGCACTCCCGCTGCAAACCCCCGAACAGCAATCCCCTCTTCTTAACACGCCTGAGCCGACTACTGAAACACATTTCCACCGTCCGACCCTCAGTAGACTTGACGACCTAAATACCCTTCCCACTCTTCCCCTTTCCACCCTTCCCACTACCACTACCCCCCTTAACACCACCAGCCCTAGGCGTCCCAGGTACACTCCCGCTCCCACGTAAAGCCGACAACATCATAGCCGCCTCTTGCTCCTTGCGCAGCTGTTCGTCTGGACACCAGGGCGAGCGTGGGGCTCCGAAGGGCGAGGGTAATGCCGGGTCGATTTGTTGGAGTTGTGTTGGCTGCTGTTGGGGATGTGAGTGTGGCTGTGGATGTGTTGTGTATGTTGGATGAGATGTGGGATGGGACGTAGGATGGGACGTAGGATGCTGTGTCGGGTTCGAGGTGGGAGGTGGTCCCTGCTGACCCTGTTGAGGAATATGGTGTTGATGATACGTTGGAGGAGAAAACGGATGATGTTGTGCCTGATGGTACTCATGGGGTGGTGCTTGGTAAGGATTCTGCTGTTGCATCTCAGCAGGATGGTGTGCTTGCCCTTGACTAGACGGACGACTCTGGCTAACCATCTGCTCATGCGCCTGCAACAACGCGCCAACCCCCGAGTGCTGCCCGTACTGTGACTGACTTTGTTGTTGTCCATGTACCGACTGTCCAGGTTGCCCAGGCTGCCCATATCCACCTTGTTGTCTTTGCTGTCCCTGGCCATGTTGTCCCTGGCCATACTGTGCATACCCCTGAACACCAGCCTGCGCGCCTTGCAGTTGATCGCCTTGCATCTGCCCACCCTGAAGTTCCTGCTGCAACCAATACGGCGGGTACCCCAACCAGCTCGCTAGCGGGTCACTCATGAAAAACGGCCCGTGACCGTCCCCATATCCTTGACCTTGCTGTGGTATTGCCTGACCCCGTCCACTCCCACTTCGATCCCGCCCCGGCGTCGGCGCAACTGGACTGCCAACGTTCGAGGAAATACTCAGTTTCCGCGGGCCGGGCGAGGCGAGTTTCGGTTCTAGCGGAGGAGGTTTGGAAGCGGTCGTAGGTCGGGGTTGGTAGTCGTGGTGTTGATAGTGGACTTGGTCCATCAGCAGAGACGGTCTCTTCTGTCCTCGCTGGGTCAACTCCGGTGGTACCCGCTGGCCGTTCTCGGGCCCACCTCCCAGCAACGGGGCAAGCCGCAGCTGCGACGGCGTGGCAGGGCGCGACAGCTGCGCAATAAGCCGGTCTGTTTCGCGGAAGCCAGCGTCGATGGCCATGTCTAGGGCGGATGCTGGTCTGTCAGACACTGAGGGGAATGACTGAAGGTGGGCGTAGCTGCCGTCGGCGGTGTATCGCGGCGGTTGTTGCAGGCTTGTCGGCGTTGGTGAAGGGAGTCGCCGGTCTTCTGGAACAGGCGTAGCATGTGCAGGCCGGAAGATGGCTGGTGTGTGCGGTAAAGTGGATGTCGGAGGTACTTGCGCTTCGACTGATGGCGCTGGTACAGGTATTGGCAGTGCTACAGGTATTGGTGTTGGCGTCGCTGCTGGCATCGTGTCACTCTCCAACACAACCCGCGTCTCGACCCCCCGAACCATGCGCCAGACAGTTTGCTTGCGCTTCCTGCTCTTTACAGCAGCGGAGATAGACAGGCCGCCTGCATCAGGCCCAGGCACATCCTCCATGGCCGTGTCACGCACAGGCGACGAAGCGAATCCGGCGACGTCAGGACGTGGCAAAACCGTCGCATTGCGCGGTTCACCGACAGCACTGACCGCAGTAGCACTGACCTGAGCAGCATCAGCAGCCGCACCATCCAACAAAGCCGGGGCCGACTTCCTTGGCCTGCCCCTACGCTTCTTAACAGGCTGCACCGGCGATGGTGTAGCGGACGCAGCAGCAGCAGCAGACCACGCCGGCTGAGTATCCTCCCCAGAAAGCCGCCGCAAATCGTCCATGATCTTGCACACGAGATAAGCGCCGTTCTGTTTGTGGTCGCGAACCGACGACGGGCGTTTCGCGTCGGGGCTCACTTTAGGTTCTCTCGGCTTTTTCGGTTCTTTTGGTTCCTTAGGTTGCTTGCGCGCTTTCACCGCCTTCTTACGGGGCACGGACTCGTTCTGCACTTGTCCTTGCAGTTGCGCTGCTGGCATTTCTTGTGTTTGGGCCAGAGTTCGAGGCTGGGCTGGACCCTGAGTCTGGGGCTCAGAATGAGGTGGCGGGAGAGCCGGGGGCGGCTGTGGCATTTCTTCCTTGCAGGGCATCATTGCCCCCGGCTCGTCTAGCCCCGGTCCCGTCCCCGGTCCCGTCCCCGGCCCTGGTATTGTTGGAATGGTTGTTGCTGCGACGACAACGGACGGTAATGGCCCGTGATCGGATACGACCGCATCGGATGATACGGATGCGACCGTGATCACGCTTTCCTCCTTCGGGACACCAGCAATACCACCAGCGACGGCAACACCATCACTAACCCTATTCTTTTTCGATCCCTTCTCGCCGCTTTGTCGCCGCGATCCCTTCGGCTTGGTCTTCTCCTTCTCCTCCTCCGGCAGGACCGTCCCAGGCGGCAACCACAACGCCGGTTTCCGCACCTGCAAGTCATCCACCCACGCGTCACAGTCCCACTGCACCCAGTAGTCAATGATATCCGACCACACGCTCTCCGGCGGCTTGGTGAAATTTACAAACACGACCTTTCCTCCCCGATCATGTACCGCCTTGGCAAACTCGCGGACCAGCACCTTCAGGCCGTGCACGCGCAGACTGGTGCCCAGGATGAGGAGCATGTCCGGGCCGAGGGAAAGATCATGCTGGACCAACGGGCTGATGAGGTGGGAGTGCGGGTGTTCCTCGCCGTAGAGCACGATATCAGGCCGGAGCTTGCCGACGCCTAGCGCTCGCTTGCCGCGTTCTTCTCGAGCTGCTGTCGCGCCTGCGCAGTGAGGGCAGTCGGGCTGACGGCCAGCAAGGGTGTCCGATAGCCGGGCGTCGCCCTCCCAGGACGCGGTGCGGGCGCAGACGAAGCACCGGAGCTCGGCCAGCGAGCCGTGCAGACACACGCACTCCACACCGCGGTTGGGGCCGGGCGCTGCGGCGGGTTGTTGGGATTGCGATGCTGGAGGGGCAGATGATGGTGGTTCGTCGTCGACTGTGGATTCGAGGGCTGTTTGCGAGGCCTGCCTGGCGCTGGGGATATCCTTCCCGTCATCTGCACTCGGTTCGCCCTGTGACTGTGACTGTGATTTCTCCGTCTGCAACGACCCCTGAGCCCCCTTCCGCCCGGCGCGCACCGAAAACCGGTACCGGCTCCCAGCGCCTAGGTCCAACGACGTGCTGAGTCCAACCCGCTCCTCCAGTTGGTCGATGTTCTGGGTATAACACCGCACCAACTTCCGGCTGTCCCGCAGCACACTCACAAACCGGTGACTGGTCGTCGGCTCGGCCGTACGCACCTTCTCGCGCAGCGCCGACACAAACGCGTAGAACACCGACGTCCGTATGGGACAAGACCAAATTTGCGCGTCAAACAGGTCGCGGCCTTTCATGACGGGGAGGGTGTTTTTGGAGGCGCCGCTAAACGAATTTTGGGAGGAAGAGAGAAGCGGCGTGGTGACCGACGACGGCTCCTCGCTGTCAGATCGGGAGGACTGTGCTTCGTCGCTGTCCTGTGTGGAGGGACAACTTGGTGTCGAGGTTTGGTACGGGTCGTACACGATCGCGGGTGGTGAAGAAAGCGGGGAGGAGCTGCCGGGGAGGGTCTCGATGAGATGCGGAGGTCGTAATCGGGAGTTGGGTGTAGGGGTGCTGAAGAACCCGGCAGGCGGGGAGGACTGCATCGGATTAAGCCCGGCAGCGGCATTTCCCTCTCCTTCTCTCGCAGGCCCTGGCCTTGGTAGGGATTTCGTCAATGGTGTCGTAGAACATGCCCCGGCCGCCTTGCTGATATCTCCCACGACAATCGTATCCTGCACTGCCTGTGACGCCTGGTCCTCCCCAGCCCGGTCGACCACTACCGCCGGGACCTCCTCCTGCTCCCGCTCCTCGACTTTCGGCGGCACCTCCTTCACGTTAGCCTGCCGTAGTCCAGGGAACGGCACGCCCGGTGAACTGTCATATGTCCGCCTTTGCCTCTTAGCAGGGCGTTGTTCCGCACCAGCATCCGGCCCATCACTGTCACTGCCTTCTCCCCTCTCAGCCCCTTGCGAGGGGTTGTTATTGTTCGCGTCGGCCGCATCAAACTGCGCCTGGATCAACGAGTACAGTCCATTTTCGGAGCGGAAATCCTGCACCGAACATAGCAGTCAGCACGCGCGTAAAACACTCCCCCTTTCATTATACCGGGGACACTGCCGCCAGGAAAAGTGAAAAAAAGCATAACCATACCGGAATCCCCGAATTCGTACTAATCCCCGCCCCCGTAATAACAACCACCTTCTTCGACTTCCACAGTCCCGTCGCGATCTCTTGCAGCAGCGGGTCCGAGCCCGGCTCCACATGTGTCGTGGGCATCACGCGTGGGCGTGGTGCGCGTCGTAATTAAACAGAGGAATCAATGGATGTCGCATCGAAAACTTGGAGAATCTTTGTCGTCCTTCAGTTCCAAGCCACGAGAATTGAAGACCAGAATTGTTGAAGACCGAGTCGCGGTTGGCGAAACACACGCGCTTGGCTTGGCACGGGGGAAATGGTGGGTAATAAATTATCTGGTCATCGTGTGTTTCCAGATAACCGTCTTCGAATCCCGGATCGCGCGTGTTGGGCAGGAATTCGACAAGTAATCGCGTCTCGAAATGGTCGTTTGGCGGACTCGAAGGTGGAAAACGCGTGGAACAATGGCGGGGTACGTACCCTTTCCCGTCGTGTCGTGTCGGTTTATGTACCTAAAAAAAAGAAAAGGAAAAAAAACACGTTCAGGTGATGTTACACGTTAATGCTCTGGATATAGACGTCGCGGAAGGACAGAGATGGTCGCGGTGAAGCATTGGGCGGGAAAGGGTTTCAATTCAAGAAAAGTGAATGAAAGAGGTAAGAAGAAGAGAGGTACAGTAAGGTCGGGTTATTGTTTTGGTTTCGGGAGCTTGCTCCGCACTGCCCTGGAACGCTGCAAGTGCTCAGGTGGTGTTGAAGCTTCGGCTTGCAGCGTGCTGCAGTGAGTGAGTGGGGAGCTTGACGCGTTTGGGTGTGGTGATCCCTGCAGGTCGAGCTGGGACCTGCCAAGACCTGGGGAGCTCGCCGTCGTTTGGTTTTAGCAAGGCGGTCCGAAGGTGGGATATCTCAACCTGGGTTTTTCATCTATAATCAAAGCTTCGAGCCAAAGCGATCGGAGCTCCCGTTTCTTTGACGCGCAAATGGAAGTGTTAAGCTGCTCAAGACGGGATTCTGCGCCGGAGTACCATTTGGACGCCAAGCCGGCCCCACTAGCCGCCCCCACAGCATCCCTTGAGCACCCATTGTTCTTCCAGAAGGCTGGTAAAGTCGGACAAGCCCAACCTCGACACCAAGGAAAGGCGATGATGACATCTCACTATCCCGGGATTCAGGAACTACCATGTCGATTGGGTTCGCCGTTACCTTTGAAATAGCCTTGAAACCATGGAACCAACATGATCAAGTCAAAACTACCCACATGCAGGCTCATCACCAGCTCCTACAACTCCCTCAGTCCCCCTCCCATAAACCCCCCCATCCAGAATGACCGCCTCATTGTCATCCCGGTCATCCTGCACCCTCCTCCACCGCGTAGCCCTGTCTTTTCGGCCCTCCAACTCGGTCTCTTTCCCGTTAACCTCGTAGACCGGCCGTATAAGCCCACCGAGCAGCGGGTTCTTACTGAACGCGCCGCCGTGACCACCGCTTGTTCCCGCTGGTTCCGGAGCACTTTCGGCCGTGGGATGGTCATCCTCGGCCGGATCCTCCCCCCCCGGACTCGCCGGCCTCTCGATCTTGGCCATCTTCTTGAACACCTTCCTCCCAGACAAATCAATACTCACCACCTGCTGCCGCTTCTCATACTCCGGCTTCGCATTCCACTCCATCTCCCTTAACAACTTCTGCTGACGCTTCAACGCCAGCGCCCTCTCTTCCGCGCTCGCCCACATCCCCCCGGAGTCCGCGACATCAAAATCTGCGGCCTCGTCCCGCACCGTCGTTCGCCGCGCGTTCTGCGCCTGGAACCCCAGCAGCCGATCGCGATGCTGCAGCGCCATGGCCTCGGCTACCGTCAGGTCGGCCTTGTCGTCCACACCGGGCCGCGAGAACGGCTTGTTCTTGCGTGACGCCTCTGTGCTGCGCTTGTGGGCTTCGCGGTCTAGCGCTTGTTTCTCGCGTCCCCGCTCGGCGCGCAGTTTGCGTATCATGTGTTGGATCTCGGATGCGCTGAGGAGTGGGGTGTGGCAGAAGGTGCAGGGGCGGAGGCCTTCTTTGATGCAGATGACTTTGCCGCAGTTGGTGCAGTTGGGCGCGGCCTCGAGCAGGGGGTGGCGGGTCGCGACGCAGTTGCAACGGCGCGCGGCAAGGGCCGAGGGGTCATTGTTGTTGTTTGGGGCCAAGGAAGGATTGGTGGTGATTTCGAGCTGGCGGATAGCTTGGTCGAGGTCTGTGAGGGCGGTCGATGTGCCGTGCATTGGTACGCCACCTGTGATGGAGATCTTCGTTGTCGTTGGTGCACTAGGTGGCGCATTGCGCGAGGCAGAGGATGGCCCGGGTGTGGATGTGCGGGAGACGGGGTTGGATTTCGGTTTGGGCTTGCCTAGATCCGACACCAACGTGCCTAGTCCCGTAGATGGGGGTTTCGACGGTTGCGGAGGGGGTGTCGCGGATTTGGGTGGTGCAAGATTGCTTCGGTGGTTCCCGGTATTGCTAGATGGCGTAGAGGCTCCCGACCTCCCAGACATGTAGTCATCCTGCTGGCCCTTCTTGTTGTACACCGTCCCCGGCGCGAGCTCAAACGAAGCGACCTGTCGTGGAGGTGGGGTGTGGATTGCGGCCTTCTTCTTCTTCGGCCCGCGGCGATTTTTTGGTACGGCATCGGCGTCGGATGTTTGGGCGGAGCTAGGCGCAGTCACTGGCGTTCGGGACGGAGTCGGCGCTGGAACTGGAGCGGGCTTGGGGTCGCTGCGACGAGCGTTGAAGGTGGAGATGAAGTCGATTACCTGCGGCGAGTCGCCCAGCATGTTGATGAAGTGCTCGGCCGCTTGGGCTTTGGAGAGTGTCGCTGCATATTCGAGTACCTGCTGCAGCCCATCGTCGGGCATCGGGAGCAGCTGGAACAGCTGTTCTTTCGACATTTTGGCGTAGTTGTTGTTGTTGTTCGGATAATGCCGATTGTCGAGGTCGCGGGGTCCAAGCTGACCCAAGGATTCCCAAAATAAAGTGGGGCACCCAAGACCCCTGCAGCTGGCCGGATGACTGTGCTGGCCGAGCTTTCACCGAACTTGGAATGTTCCTTCTTGATTGAGAATTGAGAATTTCTTGTTCTGTCCTGCTTTATGAGATCCGGTGTCAGCCATTTTTCATTCCCGGTGTCAGGGCACGTAAGAGGAGTGCGCTTAGCATTTTAAGATCCTAGGTAACCTGGACTCACTTATGGCAATGGCATTATCCTCAAACCACTCTTATAGATTTACATAATTACTTATAACGTATATTATAAGCGAGTGGATCATATAAGCGAGTGGATCAAATTCTCACGCGACGCGTCTCCCTCCGCCCAACACCAATTTCCTCCACCATCCCAATATGCCTTCAAATTCAGTCGAGCCTAACGTAATTCTTGCAGTCGAGGCTCTTAAAAAATGTCAGGGCGCACAGGGCACCAGGGTTAGGGTTGACTGCTGGAAGCTAAGGATGCAGCGGCAAACGCCCTATCTTCAGGAAGAAGGGCTCGAAGGCCGTATAAGGAAGAGCGGGGAGACCGAGCGGGGAAATCGCAGTAAGAACGGGGGAATATTCTGGCCGATCTAGAGATGGGATAAGAGGGTGTTGAAGGAACCCTGAGAGTCGTTTTAGGGGGTTCAGAGTTCAATTCCAATCTTGTATTGACCTCAAGCAATCCACCGCTACCGTTCTATCTGCGAATTCCGTATGACATCGCTACGACTATACCCGTATACCTCCCTTTACTCTTGTATACCAACCCCTTGGGTCTTACAGCCTGATACGTTAAACTCTCTACCTACTAAGACCGTTGGGAGTATACAATGGTCCTTACCCGTATTGGTATCGCTTTATAATCGTAGGAGCCTGACCCTTTATCTTATACTATAACCGACGTACTTATAGCCTAGTCAGCTGAACTATCCGACCCTATATAATATAGAGGGGAGGAAGCTACGACATTTCTACGTCCTCTCCCCAACGGCATCTAGTATATATCTAGTTCAGGTCTAGTTCTCGCCTCTCCGCCTCCCTCCGGAGAAGTAGACCTCGATATATTAGTAGCCTATAAGGCCGTTGAGCTTAAGTGTATATAGAAGGAGGCCGAACTCCAGTACATTTGCCGTAAAACCGCCTGGCTTTAAGCCCAGATCCGAGCCGACGCTATAGACATCAATACCGTTACCCTTGGTAGTAGCGCCGTTCTTTCGTATGGTATTCCAGGTTCCTATAAGGGCCTTTAGCACCCCCTAACCCTTAAACGTCTTACCTATAAGGGAGCGAGCCTCTCAGAATACCGTTAGTTTATAAGTAACCTTCAGAACCACTTCTATATCTACCGTATACCTGAAGGCAACCAGGCTTATATACTCTATATAGCGGAAGGCCTTTAGGAGCTCCCTAAGGCCTATTAGGCCAACTATATAGTACCTACCCCTGAGTTCCTATATATACGTATAACTATACCCTGGGAGGAGTGTGACGAATCGTCTCAACCACACTCTGCAAGGGTTCACTGAAGGTAAGGTAACTTG